TTTATGTGTATAAAACTTTTATCAACATTGAAAATATATACGTAATTACTTATTACTCACTGTTAATACATTTAAATTAAATTAAACTTAGATTACAATCTAGAATATAACACAAAAATATCTTTATTCCGTAGCATAGATTTGCGTAGTAACTATAAGCACAAAAATATCTTTATTCCATAGGATAGATTTGCGGAGTAACTATAAGTTCGTAGTCTTAGTATAAATAGTCGTAAACAAAGTTTAATATATTGACCAAACACACAAATGGACTTACAACCTAAATAAAGAGATTAAGATAAGATCGTGTAGCATTCATTAGTACCTCCTTTGTAAATATGTATCCTTAAATTACTCGTACTAAAGATGTTCAGTATACTTACTATAAGTCTCACACTACGTACGTTAAAGTTTTCATTCATATAACTTTGCACATTATATTAATATAGGTTATTTTTAAACGGGATACTTTTCGTATGTAGTACGGCGATTCAAACTTGTGCTAGTGTTCAAAGTTTGATTGAATCTAGTCTATCTTCCGCGCAAAAAGTATCAACAAATTTAAAATAGAGACAATACATGAACTTTAAAATATAATCTTTTCATAAATTCTGTTTAGTTTCTAAGAAAATGCAGTAATTTTGTAATTATTATGACGTCATATGACACAAAACATAAATGACCATCTTTATTGCTTATATATGTATATATATTTGTTTTATTTAACACATGCTAAAAAGGCCATTTAAAATGGTTTCACTACACCTATTTTTATCCGACTGCGGCAAATAAGAGACAAAAAAGCTTATAAATAATAATTAGTTATATATAAACTATTTATATAACTACAATTTCATTTCATTGAAACTATTTACTACAAAAAAATAGTATAACAACTACGCCAGATGTTTCTGTAGCGCGCAAGTAGGAAAAGTAAAGCTGTGACCACAGAACGACACACGTTTATTTATATAAACTATTTATTTACTTAATATATCTATTTATATGAAAAAAATATATTTATATATAATGGATAATATACATTTTATTATATAGACAACTAAATTGAATATAACCATAATTAAAACATTAAATTTAATATGACGAAATAGATGCCGACATTTTGTTTTGTTCTTTATACATAGTTTAGGAAGACGTGGCTTTATGTAAACAGTTGAACGTCATTGAAATCTTGTATTTATATTTCAAATAACAGAAATACAGAGTTATTATTGTTTCCCTTCTTTGAGTTCGCCGCAAATTAGCAGTTGTATTTATTTTAGTTTTGCTTTTAAATTTGAATAGAAAGAGGTAGGGAATAGCTTAAATATTATTATTGTTTTTAAATATGATAACTGACAGTGAATTCAGCATAGAAATATATTACTTTTAGTGCTATTACATGTATTTATATTAATTTATATAATTTTCTTTATATTATGTAAATTATTTGTCCGTCTGTTGTCTTAGAGTACAACAATAACTTGTATTTAATAAAGCGAGTGATACATCTTGTCAAAGGTCAATGAACCTTCAATGGCTGCATATATATCGTATTGTAACAATATTTGACATTTTTATATATATTACGAAAAATTTCTGTATAAAAAAGACGAAATAGATAAGAATCAAATATAAAAGTTATTTAAATATTTAATATATTCACAAAAAAAACTAAGGGTCACCTGTTGCATGAGAACAAGACCCTTAACTGTTGGCTCCCGAATATTTTATCAGCTTTTTTCACACTTTTGTATTTGAATATTTTTAAATGATTTATTGTTTGGTTGACAGCGGATTTAATACTAATTGATTATAAGAAGCGATACAATAGATGTAGCAATCTGATACATCAAGATCTTTGGAGATTTCATATATATATGTATATATATATATATTTATTGTAAAGAATATGTCAGTTTATGATACCTATGTATATGATATGCCGAATTTCTTTTAACCTATTCTACTTATTTCAAGACACTACTACGTATTTTTACACCTACAGATATGTATTTCCCATTTTCATCTAAATTCTATAATATTTGATAGTTCCATACAAGTTTAGTAGATTTATCGTAACAAAACATATGTTGGCAACTCATTAAAATTTTACATTACATTAAAATTAACATTCGCAATCCAGCATCCATAATAATTCTATTTAAAGACGTACAATAACTTAAACCAAATAGAGTATATTTTAACTATAAATCAATTTGAGCGTGTGTCAAGCTTAGCTTTCACTCAACTCAGTAACCCTTATGACTGACTCAGTTTAAAATAGAACCAGTTACATACAACAAATAGGTTTCTGAGTTTATTATACATATGTACACATGTATATGTATTTCTTATTGTTATTTACAATATTTTCAATTGAACGATTTAAGTAAGAATAGCGTACATTAACATATCAAGTTAAAATATTTATATTAGACAATATGTGAGTAATCCGAAACATAACTTACTTTGTTGAAGTCGGTTAAATCATGTTTAAACTGAACATACAGTTTCGTTAAGCAATTTCATCAAATTAATTCATTATGATGGTGAAATATTAAATAAATACCTACATAGCCACTGTTTTGCGAATTATATAATTATCATGATTATTATATAAATATTAAATAATAGATTTTAGAATAAATCTAGCATTTTTTTTATTATATAAATAACCCAATTGTTACAATAAGTCTCAAATTATCAACTTTCTCTTTGTAATTCCATGGAGTATAATCACACAAACATATATACCTTTTGTAGCTACACAAATGAAACACGATAATTGACCCCAATTTTCTAACAAAATCGTTTGTTATCCATAAAAAAAAATGCAAAATCTTCCTACATTCGCTATTTCTATAGAATAAAAAAAACTTCATGGCCGCCATTTACTTCAACAATGGTATTAGTAACAGGTGTTCCATTTTCATTATTATTACGAGACATTAGTTTACGCATTAAACCAAAAAAAAAAAAACTACTTTCGGAATCAAATCGGGATACGACAATGATTGCTTTACTTCGAAAAATAACGCATCTATAATTATATAAAAATCGATCTGAAATACACTCTATTGTTATAAATTAAAGTTCATATTCCAATGAACATATTCATAATATAAGATATTCCGTTCTTAAGATTATTTGAGGTCGTTGGTACTTGGGGAAGCTAAAGCACAGGTGTCCAGCGCTTGGCCTGCTAGAAAGAGACGGGTATACAAAAAAGTTGAACGTTAGAGCGGGACGCAACCAAAATAAACGCTAAACTTGTTTACAGTTTTTTTTTTCTTTCTCTCCCTATCCTATGTTCGTGATGTTTTTTTTTTATTCTGTTTTGTTACCTCGCCTTTTTGGATTAATCTGTTGCATTTAGCTGTATTTTAGAATTTAGTTTTTCATTCTATGTAATAACAATTTGTAATTAATTTGCCATAACGATAAAGTTTCTTATTTTTATAAGTCGAAGTTATATTTTTATAAACATTGATTCTGAAGCTTATTATTCCAGGATAATACTGTATTATGCCACCCTAATGATATCACTCAAATAAATCGCATTACTTAAGTTGATCTCAATAGCATTAATGAAAAGGTAAGAAAAGACAATAGAATATTATGAGGAAATATTTTTTTATGGTAACAAGATATATGAGATGATTCTTATGTACACTTTTTATATACTTCATATACATTGAATATATAAGTACACATTATCGTGTACTTATATATTGAAGATAATATTCTTAATCACAAAAGCCTTATTAGATACTATAATCAAAATAGAAAATACATATGAAATATATTAAATAACCTTCATACTTAGAATTTAAATATTTTAATATAATATATATGTATATATATGTTATTTAGTATTAAAATTATGGCTTTATAACTTAAGTGATTGTAAAAAGTAATTTTTAAGTGTTTACGTGACTCTGAATAAATTATGTAAGGGGCTGTATGTTAATGGGGTGGTAAGAAGAAATAATTATTACAAAGAATTATTGTTCAGCTTAGATTTTTTATATATACCTTATATACTTTATTATGTACCTAAAGTCTTATATGTAGAAATGTTAGAAGGATCTAGCTTGAGAGAACAAAAAGGATGTAAGATTTTGCGATTAAATAATAAAGGTATATTTTACTAAATATACTTTTTAGATGCTCTGAATAATTTTTAATTTAAAGTTATATTTTAAAAAATCCAATTTATTAACTAAGCAGTCTTATTTATTGAGTCACTAAAAACTATAAGGTAAAGGTCCAATAACATAAAACACATTTTTTTTTTTTGTAAATAAATTCCATTTCTTAACTATTACTTTATGATATATCCACAAACTTTTAACGTCATTAATTTGAGAATAAAGACTTTCGTACATAAAATAAATATAAAATGTGTTAAAAAAGGTAATGAGAGAATATATCAAAAAAATATATTCAAAACTTCCTTTTCCTGCAATCAATTATTAAAGTTGATGAGCTCTTAACCGACTTCAACAAATAGTGCAATGGTTTTGAGAATATTTCTGTTATAATTACATCTTCACGAAGAGATCTTTTTATGGTTATCTTTACACATAAAAAAAAAATGAAAATTAAATCACCAAAATTGTTTATTCTTGAAGGTTCTATAAAATTCGTAAGAAATACTCAAACATTATAGAGCTTCGTTTAACTCTTCAACCCACTTGTGTTACAATCGCCAAAAAAAGTCAAAAAAAAAATTTAGAAAAACTGTAAAATTAAATGTATTATATCGCTATGAAAACTTAATACTGGATTTATTTGTAATTTAGAAATAAGACTATAAAAACTCAAATAAAATTATTATAAAACAAAAGAAAAATTACTCAAATACATAAACCTACGTATTAACATTTTAGTAGGTATATTAAATCTTTTCTACACAATCTTTTATTATTAAAATAAAACACACCTTCATAATATTAAATTGATCTCATCTAAATCTGTATTATATTCGGTTTGTAATGTACCATCGGGTCATCGCACACAGATGCACAGACGCACACAGACGCACAGAACACAGAGCCGTGCACAGACACACACACACACATGCACAGACCGGCCGCGTAAGACCGGCAGTCAACAAGTTTATACGTAACCGAACGGTAATAATCGTGGCATTGTTGTGTACAGATAGCAACAAAATATATTATATGTATATATTATTAAATAGGTATATAAAAGAATTTAAATAATATAGAAATTAGTTAATATTCTAACTCCTCTATCCTAAATAATGATGTAATAATTTATGTAAAGCAAGAAGTTATTGAAGCAGAAGTATTTCATTTAATACCAATAAAACCGATCTCCTATGAAGTATTAGTTAGTTATAATAAGTACTAATTTATTTTCTAACCCTACTTCCATTCCTTGTATCATCTCACACGTGATACAAAATAAGTATAAACCCTTAAATTTATGCCACTATAGTACTTATATCTCGAAAGTAAAATGTCATCTTTTTTTGGGTCACTGCCCGCTAGTGATGTGTTGTATACGTTGTCGATACTTTTTTCTATCGACTTTTTGTCAGGTTACTTAGTTCTTACGTTTGTATACCGGATTGTTGAATCCATTGAAACAAGTACAGGGTTTTAGGTTTAATTGACAGATGTATAGATAAAGTTTATTTTGTTTTATCTATATAATACTATTAATTTATAGTCATTATTTCAACTACCATTGAATTGAATTGAATATATTTCGTATAGTGATCATAGAAAAATTTTATATGTATGTAATGTTATCATGAATTTCAAAATCATTTCTTATACTAAAGAAGCTTAGAATAAAATTTAAGCTTATTTTCTATAGTTGTAAGTATATGAAAATAATATTAACTAATACCTAATATAATAAATATCGATATATATGTATGTCATGCCTTATCAACAGTAGCTGGACGCCCACTCACGGCACACTTCACAAATCACACCATAGACTAGCTTTTGTATTTTATAATGGACGTTAAAAAAAAACCTGATATCGCTTACAGAAATAATCATTCGACCAATATATATTGAGCCTTTGTTAACATAGAACAATATGAAAATATAAGTTCTACATTTATTTCAATATTCTACTATAGAAATGAGAAAGTTTGTGATGATGTATGGATGTTTATTCTTCTTGCGAACAAAAAGTAATGAACAGATTTTGATGAAATCTTACAGTAGTATAGTTAAGAGATCCGAAAAGGACATAAGCTATAAGTTATCTTAACTGTATACATTTTTATTTTGTATGAAATTACATGTTTGAATACTTACTGATTTTACGTTTCTGTCTGAGCATAATACAGATATCCACATTAATGAAGTTTGGGGACAAACTAGTATGTATGTAAATGCATTGTATAAGCACCAAGCTCTATAAGGAAAACTGTCAAAAATCTCAAGATTTTATCATCTTTAAACCAGCAGTAAAGTTAACCAAAAACACGCGGTTTCGGACCACAGCTACCGGAATTAATTCCAATACGGGCCCAAAATATTTTATTGGCTATAAATAATGAAATTTCGGGCGTGCGGCGAAAATTTTGTTTCGCAATAAATTATAATACATACGGGCTGAGAATGTATTATAAGTGACAGGATCTTTGAAAGCCATATTTAAATTTTTCTCTTCCATACAATAAATATCTATTGAGACACAAACAAATTACTCTTAAAGAAACTCCACTACATTGTGTGACACGCGTCAAGTTTCGAGACGATTATCATTTGAAAAGTGCGTAGTACGGTAGCCGAGACTTTTGTTGTTATATACCGTTATGGTCAATTACTCACTGGCTTGAATACAAATTATTTACTATGAAAACTTTAATATATAAACAAAAAAATATAACCCAATCTTCTTCTACCTGGCAATTTCCCAGCTTTAGCCTGGTCTGCAATACATGTTGTGAATAGTTTTGGCTAATTGTTTTTACGATCCGCCTGCCTGACATCAACCCTATTCGTGAATGCATTAATCAGAGCTGTCTAAATACTCTTAGAAAGTACATATGACTCGGAAAAATCACATTGGTACTAAAAAAATATAACCTAATAATGAAGTTGATATTAAAATTGGGTTCTAGAACGAATACTTCAGTAATACTTTAGTAGTGAGACATGTAAAACATTTGTTTCTTAACTAGTCTCACAATCAATATGCAGTGTATGCTTTTAATAATAATTATTAAGTTTTGGTCTACAGTATTTGCATACAATGAGTACAAACGCGGCTGTATTTCGTAATGAACTAAAAAAATCATTTACAATAATCACTTTTATCATTCAAAGAGCCACCGAATGATCTATTGTTGCAACATGAGAAAAATATATAGCTATATAAGAAACTTTATCTTTTTCAGATATTCTTTCTTTGTTCTTTTCTTTAAAAAAAATCAAATTATTAATCTAGAAATGAAAGTATTACAAACGTTGCATTAACTAAACTCACAGATTAAATATTATAAGTAATGAAAACTATTTGATTATAACTAGAATATAAAACTCAAATATTTAGATATTGGTAGCATTGGAGCGAAAATATATTAAAATGTCGTTATAAGATCTGTGAGAGTAAATGATACAGGTATACGGTGTCTGTTAATAATTGATTCGAGCTTTGTGTGAAGTCATCGGGCTGGTCATCTTGAAACGAAATGACAAATCATTCCCGTTTTAATTCTATTCAACATCGGTCAGACTGAACGGTCAGAACGTGAACTGTGGGAATTCGTTTCCTTTCCACTTGATAATTTCAATATTGAATTCTAATCCTTTTAAACTCATCATATAGCTATTTAACTGACATATTATTATTCGTTTAACAACCAAATGTCAAGTGTCAACTAATTTCAATCTGACGTTTATTTTTTTTAATTCTCTCACATTTGTAAAAAGCAAAAGTTTAACATGATACAGCCATGTTTTAGTGAAATAATTCTGAGTTTGAAATATTTTCATAATCTCATCATTAATTAACTCGAAGTGCTAGATGAAGTAAGTCGTTCTATACAGAATTTACGCAATATCCCATCGATTCTTGATTTATGGTGTCATAAACTGACCGTTTTATGGACACCAAGTGTTATTTTATACCTCTGTTTATATTAGAAGTAAGTATTAAAGAGTTTGTTAGATTTCGGTTTTATTTTATTAGCTGTTTTAAAATGGTTCCGATTGATCTTTGTTTGATTGGAAATTTTTATCTTTTTTTTTATTTATTGACAGGCTCGGACACTAAAACGTATATTTGTATCATTAATTTGATATGAACCCTTTTATCTCAATATCTTTAATTACAAAACAACATTTATTATGCAAATATCGTTTTTATTTTGGTTATTAAAAATTTTAATGCTTGGTTTATTTTATAATTTTACTTCCTTATACGTGATAAATGATAATCCATTAATATTTAAGTTATTATTTCATAATCTTACATAGGTAGTTATTTAATGTTTTTTAATCATAAATCTCCTTAAACAAAGTTGTATTCCAATCATTCTTCATACAAGTACTAAGTACTTCAACTATGTAGTCACTCGATACATTTTGTTTTACCAATAAAATAAGTCTTCATTTGTTATTTTCTCATTACAAAATAGTGATTTATACATATAATTATTACACACAAGACAATGCCTACTGTACAGATCTATTTACGTTTAAAGTGTGTTTACATTTGTTTGTGTGCGTGTAGAACACCTGTGTTACGCGTCCAACGAGTAAAAACCTCTGCTATAATATTCCAGAAGAGCCATAAGTTTGTATGGCTTGGTTTATATTGTTTAAATATCAATAAATTTTGCGACGCATAATACTATAATAATCAAACAATAGATTTGTAATTTAAACTAATAATATATACGATCACGTGTCAAATGAAACATTCAATAATATAAATGTAATTCTACAATAACTCATCGTATCCATAGTATTAGAACGTTGCATTTCAGAGCGGGACGGGCTGTCTTCCGTCTCGCTCTAACAGCGGCCGGTCGCTGCACGTGTGTCAAAGACAAGACAAAACGGGTTTCAAAGATATTAATTTGTGTTTCCACCTCCTCGCCGTCCTGGTACCCTGGTAGTTGTATCATCGATCTCTTTGATAACAAATTGCTCGCCTTTGTTTTTTTTATATTTTGATTTTTATTTATTTACCTTCGCACTTTATGAATTCCTGGTATTATGTATTAATTACACTACGAAAAACTTTAATTTTTTTCAATTTAGAAAAAAGGAGTCTAAAGAAAAAAGGTTCCAATCCCATTCTAAAACCTGATCGGGTAAACATTAATATGTAAATCATTCTGATTCAATATGTTCAGTGACCAGATTATTTATGTTACCAAAATCATTTAACCAGAAGCCAATCGCTACTGTGGACCGTTTTAATCAAGTTAATCGATTCAATCGACTTACTTTTTATTTCGGTAGTTTTACTCGGACTGGTTTTTTATTAATATATTTTAGTGTTGCGAGTTCTTTTAATGATCCTTAATTGGCATCGGATTTTTGTTTTTGTTGGTATTAGTTGCTTATAATTATTCCGTTTGTCCTCAGATCGTCCTTATTCGGAGTCTGATGTGGAGAGGCAGAGTCAGTCTCCTCAACAGCAGCATTGCCGAAGATCCGCATCATCGCCTCCCTTGACCCTGACCTTCGACAGTGACCTAGAAGATGATGTTTTTAGCCCGAGAACAGATGCCGGTAATGATAGATTCTCGACAACCAATCTGGAGATATTCAGATATGGTAGAACTCCAGCCGGTGTGCTTTTGAGTCCGCGTCGTGAAAGATCATTTACATTTTCTGTAACAAGCGAGAAGCATTGGCGAGACAAGGGTGGAACAGATGTAGCTGATGGTGTTGTGGATGAAGACGTGGTATGTATAAAAATATCCATTTTGAAACACAGCTATACATTTAAAAAGCTTTCCAATCAAATTATAAGCGAGAGTTAGAACGATTTGGTAAAAACTAACAAAAAAATTGACATCATATTTTATAAAAAACGATTTAAATTTCGAACATCGACTTTCTCTTTAGGAGATCATAACAAAAACTATGTAATAACTAATAATAAATTACAAATATATTCTTATGTTTTGACAAAGAAATAATACACACATAACATTTTATGTGTCGTTCCGTTTTGAAGTCGACAAGATATATGATTGTGCGTTGTTAAAATAAACAGTCAGTTAACTAAAATGGTTTACATAATAAAGTAAATGTTTATATCGTTATTTTAAAACATAGCTATCATCATGTTAAAGCCATTAAAAGCTGTACAAATTATGTATATAATATAAATATGGCGATTTTCTAAAAGTCGCACGTGTGGATCCTTTGTTCGTGTAATGATTCATCTCGAGTCGATGAACCGTGTATAGATTATACTAGTGTGGATTAATACATAATTTAAAATCGATTTCTACTATTTCGTGTCTTTTTTTCTATTAGATTATTTGTATACATCTTAAGTAAGAATAGTTGCAGTAGTTAAAATAGCTAGGTCAGAACATTTTAAATCATCCTGTTCTAATAGATAGAAATTAAAATCTGAATCGTAATTTCTTAACATATTAGAAAAAACCAATTCAGAATGAACATGTCTATGACATTTTTGGTGTATAATAAAAACAAGCTTGTAAAACGTAATAAAATAGCAATATCACCGGAACGTATAAATTGCTTCTCGAAATCATCAGGCGCTAGGTAATAAATATATGTAAGTGTAGCACCATACCAGATATAGGATGCAATTATATTGTTAATGTTGTAATAAAATAAAAACTGCTGACTAAAACGGAAATTAAATCTTTTCAATGCAACGGTTTACGTTCGAATAAAATTTACTATGAGTGTTTTCGTTGATCGCTCGTACAATGTGGAGAGGGACAAGATAAGATTTATGAGAATTACGAGTATTACCGTTGGCTACACTTGTATGTAGAAAATGTATTATTTTTGTAGTGACATATATTTATGATTTTGTATGCTATGACCTACTTCTACTTACACAATAGACTAATTTTAAGACAATATTAATATCAGGATTCCTTTTCAACGCGGAAGTTTATCTGTCTTGTCACCGCCCTACTTATAATGTAATACAATTTTATTCACTTAAATGCGCACACGAATCTTGGCAGGCAGCCATTTTATGTTTATTTCTGATCGTTTTCCAACTAGGACTGTGTGTCACTGATAAAAATTCACTTTTGTTGATTTTAATCAATATTTAGAATTAAACAACTATCCGGTTAATTATTTAACGATTTTACATATTTAATCGATTATTTTAAGTTTATTTTAAACTATATGACGTCTAAATTAATAATTACAGTTATAATTCTATGTCGCATAATCCCGCGTTGAAGGATTAATTAGTTTTGTTTTAATGTAAGTAGGTCGTAAATGATATATACTGCATACACAACACATTGCTTTATACTATTAAATATTTTCACATAATCATACAAATTGTTATTCTAAATTTTGCCAACAAGATTATATTTCTTAAATAAATATCATTAAAGTTCACATTTGTTTGTAACGCTAAAAAAATTCTTTATACATAGACGATATTTTAAATATCGCAAATTAATTCATTTTTTATATATAAAATAAGCCCTCTCCATAGTATTTCCATTTGAAAGATGACTTTCGCTCCGCTTTACGTTCGAAATGAAATAAACCTATTTTAGTATTTAGTAGAAAATTAATTGCCCCACAAAAACATTGTAGGGGATTTAAGGATTATTGGATGGAAGCGAGAGAAGCCGTGACGCATTACTATGCTATGTAACAATGGATTTGATTGGTTTATTTATTTAATGGACTAGTATTGAGAGTAATAAGTAATAACTTAGACTTCTCTAGGTTTTATTTGGTTTATATAAAGAAGATTTGTATAAGCCAATCCATATAATTCAGAAAAACTGTTTTACATTTCAATTATAGGACATTTTATTAACATTATTCCTTATACTTTATCAGTTTTGTCTGATAGGTGTTACGTCAGCATTTTGCTTACGTAAATACGACTTATTTTTTCTGTGCAATATAAACTATAGTATTTTAATTGAAATCCAATTAAAATCTATACAGCCGTTTAGATTATCAAACGAAACATACAGAATGACAACACAATAAACACTTATATTTAATATTTATATTAGAAAGAGATAAATAATTTTAAATACGTATTAATTGAAATAAAAATAGATTATAGTATTACAATGAAAACTTCCACAAAGTAAAACTAATTATTTTATAATAATAAAATATTATAATATATGAAGGTTTGGGTTATTTTTTTAACTATAATTTTCGAAATAACTTATACTAATAATAGTGAAAATATTGTATGTATATATATAGTACATAAGTATTTTATGTGCTATAAATTATAATGAGTGTGTACATTGTCTGTGCCTGTGTTTGTGCAATAAAACCGGCCAATACCCAGACAACTGTCATAATATCATTATTACATTTATGGCTTGTAGCGAACCTGGTTTAAAATTTAGTTTTTGAAACTATTATTAATTCTTTCTAACATATAAAAATTCAATTTAAATGTATTATAAAAAAAAAAACTGATTTGTATTTTGATATTTCATTTAACAATATTTTTTGTATTTTTAATATGGCAATACATTCGATTTGTCATTGCCGTCATATCATGTATTTTTTATCTTTAATAAAATAAGTGGTTAACGTTGTTATTGAAAAAATATTTAATAATTCCAATGTGAATGAAGCCATATCAAAACAAATTTAAAAAAAACTAGTGAACATTCTGTAAGCGTAGATCACATATAAAAATAATGTACCAACAATATGATTTTACAACGACGTGTTCCATTTAGTTTTTGAAACAGGCCATCTTATTTAGCAGCTTTAAAATAACAAAATATAAATAAATCGAATGACAATTTCTTTAAAGGAACAAAGTCAATACTCCTAACATAGCAGACAATAAAAATTGATCATTTATAAACTGTTTTGCATAAAGTATTGTTCCCTCCAAGGTCACACTATCAAGAGCTCCCGATCGCGCTACAACACGTAAATGCACCTTATTATTGTTACTTAGAAACTATTCTTATCTGCACTGTACTGATTCACAGCGGGAGTCTACAAGTAAAATTGCAGTTAAACGCAATATACTTGCAACCTTGTCGAAATGAATGCACATTTCAATGTTTGAACACATTTAACACTATAGGATCGTTTGTATTATGACATGGTTCTATATGATATTAGTCATTAAAGCAGTTGTTTATGTGAACTGTTGTATGAGTATTTACCGCTATGTTCTTGTTGTTTCAAACAGTTAGTTGTACTAATTGAAATACCTTTATAAGTATTATAAACTGCTTCTGTTATGATTTATAACTTTTTATATATATATTTTAGTCATAAAATTTTAACTTGTTCAATGACATAAAAATGGTCGTATTAATTTAAATGAAGCGTATTTCTGAACAATGCTTGTACATTAGAATCGAAATATTTGAGGACACTCGTCTATATTAAATACTAAAAATCGCTGTTTTTCCCTCGCTTTTGTGTTTTGTCATCCAAAAATGTATTTTCAAGGATCACTGGAGGGTCTTTTTGTTAACCGTGTCCTGAGTTCCCTTAGCATTCCTTATTTTAATATTCATAAGTAAATTGGTGGGATGATCCTAGCTAGGGATTTTTATACTTTACCTTTTTTTTTTGGATTTCAATTTGAATGTTGAATGTACATTCAGCATTCTACTTACGTAATACAAATGTCGTTTGATACTTAATCTTATTTGGTAGCATTATATTAAGTAGTAGTACTTTGTCGTAACAAAATATGAAGTCAAACTATCAGTTATATGTATTAACAAATTTAAATCCCTACTAATATAATAAATACGAAAGTAACTCTGTTTGTCTGTCTGTCTGTTACGCTTTCACGCCTAAACCACTGAACTGATTTAAATGAAATTCGGTACAAAGATAGAGTTGAGCTTGAGAAAGAACATAGAATAGTTTTTATCCTAGACTTTTGAAAGGTTCTCTTGGAAACGCGATATAACCGAACTCCACGCGGGCGAAGCTGCGGGCGGAAAGTTAGTGTTTAATATAATTATGATATCTGTCACTTTGTAAATTATTCCAGACGACTAACTCTCTAGAACAGACTATGACAATATATAAGTGCTTTTGTATCTTCCTTGAGACTCGTCTCATTTAAATTCGCCCCGCCTTAGAGATAAAGATTAAAAAGAGCACAGCATCCCGGAGACCTCTTGAACACAGTGCAATCGACCGAGACGTGAAATTAAAAACAGAAAATAAAAAATTACAAGGGTTCATTCTACATATATATGATATGCTTCATTGTTTACTGACTTAAAACAATTTTCAGGATAAATATAAAAATATCTATTTTTATATTACTTAATCTATGGAATATATCTATATGAATCCATAGATTAGTGTACACAACCTTACTTACCTTTTATTTTATTTACTTCTTTCATAAGACAAATATTCACATTAAATTATACTTATACCATTCAAAAAATCCCAAATAACCAAATGGTAAAATATTATATCTTTTAAAGTTATCTCTTTTCTCATTCCTATTTTTAAAATAACACATTAAATCATTATTTATTAATATAAGTAAATTACAATATAATTTTCTTTTTTTTTTCTTTTTTACCTTACCATCAGTAGTTTGGCATAAAAAGAGAACTCTTGCAAATCAAATCTTATATACAATTTGTTTATACGTATGTATAATATATAAATAATATTGCTGACAATGAAAGTATACATATATGTATATACATTATATAATGAAATCTCTCCACGTAAAGACATACGCTTGTGAAGGAAACAAAGCCCAGATCTCATTGAGCTCGCTCGAAGTATTCTAGATAAAATACCATTATACTTATACAGGGTT